TGATTGCTTTTGACATCAACGCTTCATTTGACAGAGTGTGGTATTTAAAAGCCCTAGCAAAACTGAAATAAATAGGAATCAGCATAACACTTTCTGCTGGTTGGAGTCACATTGGGCACAAAGGAAGATGGTTGTGGTTGTTGGAGATCAGTCATCTCAGCATTCAGTGTAACATTAAGCGCCATTCTCAACTCCTCAACTGAAACTGCGTATCAAAATGCAGTAAGACCTGGACAAGACCCAGACTTCTTCTGACAAATAGCTTGTAATTTTCCCATGACATAAATACCAGAGAATGACCATCTCCAACAAGTCTGCATCTGATCACACCCCTTTATAATCAATGCATTACCATCACCAAATCTCCCACTATCACCATTCTGCTGGTTACCATTGAACTGAAACTGAACTGGACTCACCATATAAATACGGTGGCTACAAATGGGTCAGATGCTAGGAATCAGGCAGTGAGTAACTGACCTCCTGACTCCGTAAAGCTTGTCCCCAATCTTTTTAATGAGTCAGAAATGCACTGTCAGAAGTCACCCCTTCTGCCATATGTCCACCGCCTTGATCATAATTCCACCACCACCACCCACCTCCAGCAATCACCATCACCCATTTTGCAACTGACAGCTTCCCTGCACTGGTTTATTAGTCAGGTGGCCTGACTGTTCCTTGTCCCACTTGGAGCTGAATCAATTGCATCCACAACAAATTGTGCTTACAAAGAACGATGAGAAATTATAGTCAATCTGGATTTTATCATATTTGCTGAGGGAAGAGGATTAGTCAGGAAACCAACAAAATCTCCCTGCTTATCTTCAAAGAATGTCATAAGATCTTGTATAGTCACTTTGAACTTTAAGACAGCACATTAAGCTTAATAAAGGACTAATTATGGCAATGTTGCAATCTATCAATGCCAGCGATAGTCCTGATTTGTGCTAAAGTTCTGGAATATGGCTCGAACCATGATCTTCTGATTTCAGATGCAAGGTGACTAATATGTTGCTAAGCTGATAAAATTTGGTATACTAAAATTCTGTTTATGTTGTGTTTGCACAATGGCTGTCCTGACCACCCCTCTCTTTTCCTCTTGGTTCTGTCATCTGATTTCATTCCAATTATCTTCAGTTTACTGTCCCTGTGTTATATTTATGTACAAGCTATAATTAATTAACATTTGTATTCTGTTATACATGTCCTGATTTTGGACAATTCAGTCATTGTTTTT